CTGTACCACGTTGCCAAAACGGATCCATCTGAACAGCCATATCAAAACATATATACTTAGAACGCTATACACACATAGAACTCAGATGCTTTATTGCCAGTATATACACGAACATACCGGAATTATTTGTGATGTAGTGCCAAACATGAATTACAGGATGAAATTACAAGACAAACAGAGAAACACTTCACTGAACATACATGTATAAATAAGAGTACAACAGAAATTAAATCAATAGAACATAAATTTACAGAACACAAAACGTCTTAAGACAAAAAATATACATATTAATGATGTGTATCTAACCAAGGCAGAGGCCTGCCTACATCTAGAGGCCTGCCTGCACCTATAGAGGCCTGCCTGCATCTACAGAGGCCACGTCTACATTAAGGAGTCACAATACAGCTGCATGAAATAGGTGGTCCCCCTTCCTGATTCCTAATCTAATTGAAAGCACACTTCCTCTTTCTATATACGATAGCTATGCAAATGCTAATGTCAGACCAAACACGAGGACTGAGATGCAGGACTGTGGGTGTGACAGCCATGGCTCACATCCAACTAGGGATTACAAGAGTCTAGCAAAGCCTCCCGTTTACTGATCTTAAAGGCCATTACCCATTCTAGAGGCTCAAAAAGGCCTTTTAAGTCCAGAAAAAATACACACTTAAGCTGAACAGAACAGCTCACAGCTTTTTTTGAAACATTAAATTAAAGAAATTTTAATTCACTTAAGTGTTAAATCAGTTTGTGCTCCTAATTATTCAACTGCAGCTGTATGTGAACACTGGAATCCTTGGTTATACATTGATGCTTTCTCCTCCTCATTCACTCGTGTGACTTCCGATTAACAGGTAACGCATGAACGTCTGAGGATGATTTAATGCACTACTTTTCAGACAAAGCCATCTGTAATTTCTGATAAACCGTGAAATACTCTAAATCTTTGTGCTTATTTTCTTTTAACAGCGTGATGGATTCATCTCGAAAGTTTAATTTTGAAAAGTGAAAAATGTATGGCTGTCTTATGTTTTCCATTATTAAATCACAGATATGATATAAAAAAAAAAAATACATGAATAAATTTTCCACACTTGGGTTTCTCACAATTTCCCACCAGAAGTCTGAAGGACCACAGCCGACATTAATCCCGGGTATTCCAATTACAGAAGCATCCGAATTAACTCATCCCATCTCGTCACGGAATAATAAGAATGTTCCGGAAGACCGAGCATGAACTGGGAATAAGGGGCTGCACCAGGAGCAGGGCGGGACACTTCAATTGCGTCAGACAAAGAGGCCGAGGGCCCGGCGGCCGGTATCAGGATACACGGTGGTAAAGGCATTTCTCACGTTTCCATGTCGCCTCGTTAACAGGCCCGAGTCCTTTCAGGGACGGACACACCTCACTCTACTCATTACGCGTCCCATTGTCGCAGCAAATGCACGGATACACACCAGAGACATAAATAAATGGTAGGACTCCGGAGTGCTGGGCGTTCCTTCCCTTCCTGAGCCTTTCGTAACCCCTCATACCCACTGCAGTTCCCCACAGTTGTGCAAGTCTGGACTTCCTGGAGGGCCCCCCTCTGCACAATCATAGTGCACCAGCTCTGCAGACCTGATAAAGTGAAGGTAACGCAGCATCTCCTAGGAAACCTCGAGCCGAAGCCCTAGAAAGTGCCAGACAAAGGTCACTCTGCAGCTGAAGTGTGGCTAACGTGCCTGAAAGCTCATCCCCCCCCCACCGATCCGTTTCCCCTGATCCGCACAGTTGGCGCAGGTGTCACCTGACCCTCCTTAACAAATCCCCCCCCCAACCAACCCCCACCACAACCCATGATCCTTTGTCCACTCCCTTGTTTGACAATTATTTACTCTGCCATTTAAAGCTGGGCTGAGGTCAGATGGCCCACACAGAAGAAGAAAAATTAAAAACTGTCCGCATTCCCTTCCCATTTCTGCCATATTTCATAACCTACCAACAAAATAAAAATACTGCTATGGAAAATTAAGTTATACAGAAAGACAAAACATAAAACAACAAATATTTGCATGTATGTAGTCATAAAACATCCAATTAAACATTTTCCCAAGTTTTACACCCCCAGCACATACAATGTCAAGCCCCCCCCCCCCCCAGAACCTGCCACAAGGCCGGAGTTTCTAAACGCTGGGGGGCTGATGCAACAAGAGGCCGAAAAAGGAGAACGCCACCATTCACTCTCAGCTTTACACCCCTGCTTCCTCCAGGGGAAAAACATGAACTTTGCAACAAAATAAAGCACCATTCCTCCACATCCCATTACAGCTAAATCACCAGAAGCCTGTTCAGCAGTACTTAAGGGACCCATAACTAAATGGATTAAGCGTAACATTCAGCCCCATATCCAACTTATTCAACCTGTCTTTAGACCAGGTATCTGCTGGGGAAACCAACCTAAGGTCCATGCTCACTTAATGAATACAGGTGCCCCTCCTCTCCCTTGAAAACTCATGCAGTTTTCTCCTGAGGTGCCGGAGATCTGACGATAATAATACTCCCCTCCTATCACACCTGTAAGTGTTTTTTTTTTTCCTCTGATTTAAGGAAATTCCTTCATTCTGCGTGGAAATGTAGTAACTGAAATTCCACGAGTAAGTATTGACATTCTGTATGTTATAAGGTTCAGATCATGACCACAAACATTAACAGTCATGCTATACACTCATGCCACTTCTACGTTTCAGTCAGACCTAGACTTCCTAAGTGAACCATGACCTAAGGACTTTTGCTAATAATTTCCTAAGTGATCTGCTATAATGGAATTAAATTTCATCCATTCAAAAATAATTCATCTGTAAATGCTGGGGGGCGGGGGGGGGGGAAGCTGCTATTACTTGCAGATAATGACACATAAATTCCCTTGTCAGCTTTTAAAACTCTGAGGTTAAACTTATTTTGCCTATTTATTTATTAATTTATTTAAAATCTCAGGTTGACTTCTAATCAAAGGTGCACATCTGCAGCTAAGGAACAATGGAAGTATGAGTAGCCACTGTTTCTCAATGCAGAGCTTTCGGCATGCATAAATCGCTCGCTCAGGGATGCATAAATTGCTCGCTCAGAGCCCCGCAATGCAGCATCAAGCATTGTAACCCAATCTAGAAAAAAAAACTCCCATATCACACCTGCTCTCATTGTTTGTTCACTGACTTCCTGTCAAGACAGACTTGAAAGGTACTTTTCTTTATTAGGTGCCGGAAAAGCTGAGATCCATGCCTGTTTAACTGACCTAATTAACCAGAACACAGTCTAAGACAGCAGACCAAAGCCCATCACGTAACGCCTCTAATTTCATTCTATCTATTGTGGGCAAGACTTTCAGCGGCAGGGTTTACGGTCCCGGCTGGGAGCATTGCCAACTGAGGTCGGGGAAGCCCCCCACTTCCAGAGCGGAAACCCAGGCTGAAAGCCTTCTCTCAATCAGAGTATTCCATGATGCATTTTTCTACACGTCATAGTCTTATACCTTGACTGAGGGAACCGTACAAGAATTCCAATGTACTTGCACTTCTGTAGGCTTCCCTGTGCAAATGGAAAATAATGTTTAGATTCCTCAGGAATTGACTGCCTGACAATCAGTGCTCACCCCAGATCGCCCCTCCCCCCCAACCCAACCCAACCCAACCCCGCAATCACACCCCATGCCGAGCATCAGCTGAGAGCCTCAAACCAGCATAAATTTACTTTACATTTTATTTAGCAGATGTTTTTATTCAAAGCAACATCCATCTGAGGAAGGGGGCCAACCAGTCCCCGGAGCAATTGGGATTAAGGGCCTTGCTGTGATATCACTTTGCCAACCCAGGGATTTGAACCGGCAACCTTCTGATCACTTGCAAACTTTGCAAACATGCTAAGCCACATATCAGTCGCCATAAGGACGCTGCAGACTGACCAGTGCTGGTTGCCTGAGTGGAGGGCCTGACTAGAGGCTAACACCTACACACCTGTTTATGTTACAATGTCTGCATGTTTGGGGGGGGGGGGGGGGGGGGGGGGGGGG